TACGTAGATACCTGTAAGCCTCGTCAGCTTGCACGTCTTATATAGCCTTCGGGCTGACACAGGACGTAAAACAATAATAATAATAATAATAATATAGGATAGACTATAAGAAAAACGTAGCAGAACAATGACCTCTACATATTACGTTCTGAGTAAGCTATAGTAGTGTGTAAATGATAATTCAAAATCTTTGACTGCCGCTCTAAAGTTTTCGTAAAGAAAGTGCGACGAAATAAATGCGTAGCCTGCTGGATATCAACCACATGATGAACATTTCTGATCGCAATGACCCTTGGATCATCACTGTCCTCCAATTGCGCCCACACACCTTCAGGCAAAGCCTCGAGCAACCCAATCGTCTGTTTCCAGTACCTCGGCTTGCATGGGAAACACTTTCTCAATCAGCAGCTTGTGTACATCTTCGTCCTTGTCCAAACACAGATCCTTGAGGACGGTAAGCTTGTAATCCAGATCCGCAGCCTCGCGGACGGTTGATAACACAGCGCCTGCAGTAGCCACGCCACACAGCACGAGATGGCCCACACCGCGCCCGCGCAGAATGGTAGCTAGGTCTGTGCCAGACAAGGCGGAGACGCGACGCTTGGTAACGAAGACCTCATCTTGGCCAGAGTCGGCTCCGTCTGCTTTGGGAGGAATGGTAAGCTCGTCAAAGAGGGCGACGGACTGATCACCCTCGACAAAGACGTTGGCGGGTACGTTTTTGAGCCGCTCGCCCATGTTGCTCGTTGGGTTAAGTTCTGGTCTGCCGGCCCGGAAGGCAACCTTCACATGTACAATAGTGATGGGTGGCTTGTTGCTAGACTTGTTGGCGGAGCGCACGGCTTCGAGCAGCTTGGATGCTTGGCTAATGTATGCCGGTGTCTTGTCTGGGAAATTGCCCATCATGATGCCCTTTTGTATGTCGAGCAGGATGAGGGCGGTGTTGCTAGTTGCAAAGGAAGCCATGATCGTAAGTGTTTAATGAAAAATGATGTGGCACAAAAACTGTGAACTGATGGTATTATGGGTGCGTGCCAAATCAGGAGGGCGTGAAAAAGCTATGGAGTACAATTCAAGAGTTGCAGTTGAGCGTTTTATCTGCACAGCGTCCACTGGTGAGGCACGACATGGTGGCGTTAAGAGCGGAGTTTGGGGCACAAAGTTCGGAGCCGACTCGGCTGACGGGTAGTTGGCGCCCAAGTACTAACCCCCGGGTTTAGGGCTATGGTGAATATTCCACGGATAACGAGGCTATATGGCATATGCAGCGAGACTATATAACGATGATATCTCTTGGCGGCGATGTTGGTGGTTGGGCATGTGGGGATGATTGAGGTCATCGACTATATGTACATGTGTATAGAGGAAATCAAGTAGGCGTCAGAAGAGGGCAGACGTAGATGACGCATGTACACAGATATGAGGGTCATTCTCTTGAATATGGAACATCGTGTATGCGTACCTTGGATCATTAGGCGTAAGTCGCCAGAGGCTTTACTGTTGGATACCGGCATTCAGTGCAGAGTGGTCAGGGTCCACATGAGCTCAGCCGTCAGCCGAGCCGAGAAGCTGTGAGCCGACGACACCTCTTGTAAACACCCCATATGCGCGCGCATACTGATCTCCAGCTCCGACTCAGTGAATGACATCGGCGATAATGGCAGAGGGAGCCAGCAGCTCGCCCGGCCGGAGCACGCGCATGTCGCGCAACGCAGCCTGCACCCACTGCCGTACCTCCAAGGTGCGCTGCAACCCCAGCTCCATCGCCGGCCGGCCATGCCAGCGCTGCACCAAGCTCAACCTCTCATGTGTCGTCAATCCCACATGTCGCCGCACCACACGCAAGAGGTTAGTTTGTTTCCTGTCTAGAGGATACTTTGTCCTTGTCAGGCGTGGTCTTCATCAACTGACATGGCACATCGGCAGCCAACTTGACCAGCTTGCCCGCGAGGTGCAGGCCATCAGGGAAACGGTGGTGGTGGATAGCATTAATATTGCTAGACAGCCGGCACTTCAAACACCCTCTAGTCCAAGCACCTGGTCACCCAGAGTACAGGGTGCCAACGAGGCTTCGTCGTCCAGTGTTACACCGGCTTTCTCTGCCGCTGCATCAGAGCACAATAGTCGTCATGGTGACAACGCTGTCGTAGTCGACGATACACCAGTCGACTCGACGGCAGTGCCCAGCGTACACAGGGCGCTCGACTCACAACCCTTTACTGGACCAGATATTGATGAGCATTTCAACATGTACGCATGTCTCGTCATGTTGCGTTGCTGCAAATTGAACTAATCATAGCATGCAGCTACTTTCGCTATTTCCATCCCCACTTCCCTATCCTTAGCCAACGTGACCCAAACAAGTGTTACGACACAAGCCCTTTTCTTTTCTGGGTCATCGTTCTCATCTCTTGCCGCCGTCGACCCACAAACACCAACCCTGCCACGATCCGTCTTCTTGCAGAGCACGTTAAGCATGAGACTGATGCCGCTGTTCCCAAGGTGCCTCAGCCTCTCGCTCAACTACACGCCATACTTCTTGTCGCTGCCTGGGGTTTGTATCCGGGTGTTCGTTTCATCAATGATCCGGCCTACTGGCTGAGTGGCATTGCCATCAACTCGTGCCTGCTGCTCGGCTTCCACACAGCCTCCGGCAGACACCCGGAGTACAACCATGTCACTCTCGGTACCATTTCATCTGATATCGAGGCTGCTGTTACATGGGTAGCGTCTGCTATCGTAAATCGAAGGTACATTCCACATATGCGTTGCCAATAAGACTCTCTTAACTGACTAACCTTGGCAGATTATCAACCAACCTTGGCCTCCCATGCACAGCTCCAATGAACAAGGCCACGTTGAACGTGATCCATGACGAAGCTAGTCTTCTACCCATCAGCTTTCGCGTACAGCTCGAATGTCAGGTCTTTATGGACAGAGTCAATAAGACGCTAGGCTCTTCTCTTGAAGAGTCCAACGGAGTACCGTATGAGTTAGTCCGAATGTTCGAGGATGAATGGGTCGCAGCCCGAGCACGAATCATCTCCAAACACACGGGTAAGCCATCGTATCCTTTTGCCAGTGTTATGTAGCTGACTACCTACGACATGCAGACCCAGTATTATCTCTCCACACCCTATTTGTTCTCCTCGAGGTTCAGATGTACTATTTTCTCCCAATACCAACCCAAAACAGTCAATCGTCCCCCGCCGTTAGCTCACTCAGCGGTAGAGATAATCTCCCTCCCTCCATCGAAGCAGACATTCTGCGATGCTACACTACGGCATCAACCGTCATCACCAGAGTAATGGATCTCGACAAGACGACAGATCTTCTGCACTACCTCCCGCACTATACCATACGCCCCATTGCACATGCCGTTACCGTCATCTTCCGTGTCATCCGCTCTGATCTGCCTCTGAGACACCTGCAGATCGTCGTGCCGGAAGAAGCCTCTAAGTTATCCGCTCACACTATCACAATCTCACGCCGCATCTCAGCTGTTGAAGGGGATCTGGCGTGGAGACTCGCACGGTGCGTTGAGCTGTGGGACACGACAAGCGCACCATACATCGCCGCCGCTGCCGCCAGTCGTTTCAATGCACCAATTGGTAATGAAAACGAGAACAACAACAATAGCGACCAAGCTGGCTCAGCTGGAGCTAGTCCAGACTATGAGCCTGTACTCGTTGAGATGTTCCGCCAGCGCATGGTAGCAGCTTTAGGATGGGATTTTATGATCCGCTGGAAAAGCAAGCACGGCCCCGTGCATATGGGACCGTATAAGCCACACCCTCAGACGCAGACCATGGGAATGCATGTCAGTGTGGGTGAAGCTAGTAGTCACATGCAACATCAGCAGCAGACGCCATCGACAAGTTCTACCGGAACTAGTGGTCCTGACGGTGGTCCTGCTAGGTTCCAAGTGGTCCAGCAGGACCAGCAGCTTTTTCAGTCACAGCAACAGCAACAGACCGGTATGCCAGGGAATGTTAGTAGCGCGACGGTGCCGCCGGGCGAGACGGAGCCCTCTCTCTCTTCTACGGGAACCACAGGTACAGACTCTCTGCTTGGAACCGACTGGGGATTTCTCGACGACTTCATCTGGGGGTTCGATAGTCAGGATCCGTAAGCCGATCTCTGAGACAGACTTTGTGACATGGAATGCTTATCACAGGCGAGTGCTTATTACAGCCGCGGCATCAACATGTCTGTCAGATCCGAGCATTTCAGAGAGATGTTGGGGCCTCAAGTGAGATTTCTCGATCCTTTATGTCGAGACGCTTACGTTTGTGCATCTGACTGGCCAAGGCAGAGAGGTGGGGCGAGTCAACCCTTCAGTCAGCATCCTCGGTATTGTAAGACGGGTCGGCCCGTACGTAGTAATAAAGTTTGTTGGATCTGGGAACTGCGATGCTGCATGCCAATCAGAGAGCGTGCGGAAGCTCGTTCGCGCCTTGGCCAAGCATTGGCTTACTGTGGGGGATTGCGATATATCGTTCCGGGGTCTAAGCACCGCGTTGCAGGAAATCATGCGGTTTGTATCAGTGGTTGGGCAAAACGACGAGAACATCGAGCAGAGTCACGACATCACAGAACTTGATATGGATCAAGCAGGCGAGAGACAGGATAAGCTTGGATGTGAATATGACTATGTCTTTGGTCTATCTGCATTCTAGCGAGTGACTTATGCTCAAAATTGAATGCAAATGTTGGTTCAGTGTGCGTGCACCGCGACTTAGGAGCCGTTTTCTTCATTTTCCTGGACAGCTTCCTCCCTTTTGGTCTTTTCTAAGGCCTCAGCCCGCTGCCCCCTCTTCTCCTCCCGCTCCTTCCGCCACCCCATGCCCTTCTTCAACAACGTCCAAAGAGTTAGCGGAGACGCAACCATACTAATCCCCGCGAGAATTGTGAAAGCCCATCCACTGCCCACCCCGTCAATCATGGGCTGAATGGCGGCACTCGCGCCAGCACCCACTAAGCAGCGCGTAAAGTTATTACTCGCTGTCGCCGCGCTCGCAGCCGTGGGGTTCATGTCCACAATGAGCGTGCTGACGACATTGCTAAACCCAGTCAATCCTAGGCCCGCGAGAAACAGCATCACGCAAGGAACGGCGAGGTGCGTCCGAGCGTGGAGAACCCAGCCCCAGACCAGGACCACGCAGGTACCCAGGATGAGGGCAGGAACACCAACCTCTAGACGCGCGCGCTCGATCGGAAACGAGGAGAGATCCTGTTGCCTTTTGCGCTCATAGGGGAGGCCGAGGAGGTTGCAGTGTCGCCGGAAGTTCCAGTCCAGGCTGCGCCCAGCAACCTGTGAGCCTACTATGGTGCCCAGGCCGAGCGGGAGGTAGATGAGCCCGGTCTGGAGGTCGGTCAGGTGGTAGATTGAGGTGAACTGAGCGGGTATCGAGGTCATGATGCAGTAAAAGTTTGCGAAGATGAGGCTGCTGTAGAGCAGCAGGAAGGCCATGTTGGGCTGTAGGAGCAGCATAAGAGCGTGTAAGGCCTTGAATTTGTGCTTGGTGACGGCTGGCTGCCCAGGAGGCGATGGCCCAGTACCTGCGTGCTCTTCGTCCTGTCCATTGCTCTGCGCCTGTTGCTTGCGACTCGATCTTGTCGCCAGCACGTCCTTGCCGACCCGCCAAAGCGACCTGTGGACAATATGCTTGGGCTGAACGGACCCGTCACCCACAATCCCACGACACGTCTCGGGCATCCACACCACAAAGGCAACAGACAAAGTCCCGCACATGATGGTTAGGATCCAGAAAATCCACCGCCACCCAAGATACTGTGCCAGTGTGCCACCCAGAACGGGACCTAACGACGGCCCTAGCAAGACTGGCGTCGACATGTAACTCACGTATCTGCCGCGTTCGGCCGATGTGATGATGTCTGACACGACGCCCTGCGCCAGAGCCACAGTCGTGCTGGAGCCTGCAGATTGCAGCATGCGCAGTACGAGCAGCGCTGGGTAGTTGGGTGCAAGTGCACATCCGATATTAGCTGCCATGTACACGACAAAGCAGAACATGTAGGCTGGTCGCCTACCTGCTGAGTCGGCATAGGCGCCAACGAACATCGGCGTAATACCCTGAAATATCTTTTCATCTGTTAGTCAGCATGCTGGCGCACTTGGAGGTCTTTGTATGTAGAGCATAAGTGGTTGACTGACCATGTACGTTGTAACCGTCAGATTGATAGCGGAATACGAGACTTTGAACTCCTTGGCTATGGCGGGCAGTGCGGGCAGGTAGACTGAGGCTGTCAATGGCGAGAAGAAGGCTGCGGTGGCAGAGGCCATGACGATGCCGAGCTTTTGACGATGGGTGAAGATGGAGAATGGTCTGCTCTGAGTCTCCACTTTTGACATTGTGTTTGGCGTAGCCTCGACATCTCTTGGTGGTTGAATCCCATTTTCGGTGTTCGAGCGTGTGTCTTCAAAGTCACGATCCGGTTGTGACGTAGGCTCGGTCTTGCTGTGTGTTGTTGTTGAGTCGATGCTTGCTCTTCTCGATACTACTGATTGACTGCCAGATCGCACTGTGTCTGGTGGTTGCGACATAGTAGTAACTATGTGAGTTGAATTGAGCTTGGTTGCACTGGTTTCTGCAAGACGCAGCGTTTGGCTTCTGGAGCGGTGCCATTTGGCTGTTCAAGTAGCATCTCGACATCGAGCTTGGCGGGCAAAAAGACCATGATGCGGCTCTTGTTCGCGGTGTAGCTTCGGAAGCGACATCGGCTGAGAGTGTCACATTTCGGCTCAGTGAGCCGAGGAGGTAACCGCCGATGCTGGGCTTGTCGGCTCACGGTGGTAACCGCGGACTTAAGGAACTAGGTGATGTAGCCTATTTTTCTATGGAGTAGTATTCGGTATATCTCTAATCTATAGAAAAAACCATCGGTCAAGAGAATATCATAGCTTGTAATAGGAGTCATATGAGAAAACTTTCCAGAAGCTGAAACCTTGAGTACCACATAGATAGTTCTAAAAAACGAAGAAATTTGTTCAAGAGTTATATGGATATTGTCCCTTAATACATGATAAAAACACTTTCTATATTACATCGGAGAGTCTACGATGCAGCTGTGGCTCCGCGTGACTTGACCTCAACTGGCACTAATTTCGAGCGTGAAGCAATATCCACGCTCAGCTGGGATAAAGGATGATTTGCGAGTAGCTCCAAAAGTGGTATGGAGCTTTCCAACTCCCGTGCAATCCAGTTTCGCACATCGACTGCCACAATCGAATCTACACCACATTCTGTAAGAGACATTTCGGAATTGAAGTTTCCCACGGATACGCCAGATCTGCTTGCTAGGTAGCCAAGTAGCCCATTGCAGATGATACTGGCGGCATCATCTGCTGATTCCGCAGATTTTAGAGCATCTTTGACAGACATACTGCCGTTTGAGATCTGCTTTGTCTCCGCGGTGACTTCGGCTTCCGCTGCATGCCGCCGGAAATGTGAAAACATAGGATTGCTCATTGCAGACAAGGAGCGGCCGCTTCTCCATGTGCCCAGCCCTATCACAGTCTGCGTTTTGCCTCCTCGTCCATAAGGCTGTACAATCGCGGATCGTATGAGCGCGAGCAGTAGCTTTTCACCCGTCATACTGAAGCCTTGATCTTGCATGGACTTGGAAAGTTGTTTATTTTCTTCTGAGGCGAGGTATCCGATTCCTGAGATTGCGCCCAAGTCCAAAGTAACAGCGGGGAGCCCTTGGGCATTGCGGAATCCCGAAAATGCATCCAAAAAGGTGTTACCGGCAGCATAGGCAGCTTGGGTAGTGTTTCCGATAATACCGCTTATTGAGGAGAGCATGACAAAGAAATCCATGTCTTTTGGCAGATGGTTGTGTAGATTCCATGTTCCATTTACTTTGGGACGAATGACAGCATTCCAATCGTCCAAAGTCAGTTTTTCCAGTAGCATATCCTGTCTTTATTTAGTACGAGAAGTCAAGATGAGAAAGGAACACCTACTCGTAACACCATTGCACCTTGGATCACACCACGAATCGGTGGCATTTGATTCGCACATTCTTCAACCAGCTGGCGAACATGGTCAGCGTCGCTTACGTCGCATTTTTGAACATGGACTTGAGCGCCCATAGCCTTTAAAGCATGAACTGTATCTTTAGCTTCCTGTTTGGTCATACCGCTTCGGTTCGCAAAGATGAGATTCTTAGCCCCACGCTCAACCATCCATGATGCCGTTGCTCGGCCTATACCACCTAGTCCACCAACAAGTAAATAGGACGCGTCAGCGCGAAATAGTTGATCTTCGGTAGTGGTGGGAAGGACCTGATAATGTAAGCTCCAGATGAAAAGTAGTTTCATATTGCTGCGCACTAACCTTGACTCGATCACTAGGATTGAAGGTAAGAACCACATGGTCGGTATTCTCGTCGTCCGTCAAACGCTCAAACGCCTGACTTATCCCTTCGCTGTTAAAGAGTTGTAGGTTGGGTATCGTACCGCTAAAGGAATCGTTCGAGAGTAGTTCGATAGTCTGGCCCCATATCGCATCCGCCAAGGCTGGCCTTTCTTCCTGAAGTCGAGAAAAGTCTAGCGCGCTAAAACTCGTGTTCTTCCTAAAGTTGGACATCTCAAGGCGGGAGTTTTCAACAAGGTCCTGAGTACTGAGTTCGATGAATCGACCGTACGGTGCTATGCAGTCCCAACACGTTTGTAGAATTTCTCCAGAAAGCGTGTTGAAAATCACATCCATTCCGTGACCTTGCGTGTTTGTGGCCAGGGCTGCAACTGAGTGCTCTTCATTGTTGTGAACAATTTGATCCTTGGGGAAGTGGAGGGTGGATTCCATGAAGAGCGCGTCCTTGTCATTGCTCACTCCAACGTATACTTTAGCACCACTTCTGTCACAGAGGTCTATCAAGGCCCGGCCAATGGGCGTCGCAGCCGATGAGACGAAAACTTTATCCGCTTTGGAAACATTAGCAAGTCGGTACATGGCATAATATGCCGTACTGTAAGCGGTAGGATATGTGACTGCAATCTCAAAAGGTACTCCATCCGGTATCTTCTGGAAGGAACTTGCTCTTCCCTTGTATGAGTTTGAGATGATATTCGATACTGCGCCGAAGACACGATCACCCTTCAAT